AGCCAAAACGGGGGAAAATAGCAGCAACTTCAGTTTTAACTCCTATTCCCAATACTAACGAAAAATGTATTCATTCATTTAGAAATAAGATTTCCTGAGCATCTAAGATAGATAATGGAAATGCAACTATGGTCCACATAAGTAAGGTCCTGCCAGCACAACATTTCCAGAGCAGTGGAGGAGGAAATAAGGAAACAGAACAAGTCAGGGTGAAACTATCATGATTAGGAAGAACAAAGAGCAGTCTACTGAAGCCGGAAGCCAGGAGAGCCTTCTCACCACAGGTGATGCCTCAGGTGAGACTCAACCAGTGAACAGGTGTAATGGCTAGGCTAGGCTAGCCTACTAAGAAGGAGAGAAGGGGGTGGATGAATACTCCATGCACAGGAAAATCCCGGGCCTAGAGCAAGAGAAAGTGCATCTGTTTGGAAGAACAGAAAGAAGTTGGTTCTAAAGCATAGAGTTGGTAGGAAGTGGGGAGAGATATTGCTGCAGAAATAATAAAGAGTACAAGTAATGAAGAATGGGCTATCTAAACATTTCCAAGAGAAATGGGAAGCCACTGAAAGGAACTAAGGAAGAAATCATCAATACATTGTATTTTATACAAAATGTTCTGATTGCACTGTGGCAGAATTGGAAAGGACCAAGAAAAGGGTCTAGGCAAGAGAAAATGGTGAACTGAGTAATGGCAATGGGGATGGAGTGGTGTGAACAGATGTTAAGAGCTGTTCACAAGTGAGGTGTGAATAGATGTTAAGAGCTGTTCACAAGTGAGAGGAGACTGGACTTGATTGAGTAGACTAGCACAGTAAGGGGAAGTTGCTTAATCCTTCTGCACCTTAGCTTCCTTTTCTGCACAGTAGGAACAATAAATAATATTCGTACCTGATCATGGAGTTATTATGAAAGTTAACTCACAAAGTACTTACAACAGTTACTGCATATAAGTGCTCAAAACATACTGCCTATTATCATTGAGTAAAATAGCTCAAAACTAGAAACAGCTGCTCATTAACAGTAGCATGGGGTGGGGAGAAGAGGGGAGGAAACAGTCCAGGATTTTGGCTTGGATGAATGAGTGGATGACAGTAACTATACCAGTTATCTACTTAGTGCCTCTCAGCTCCAAATCCCCTCTTCATTTCTTGCTCTGAGATAATGGAGATGGACATGGCAAGCATTTCTCCTATTCCAGAGCAGTGGAGGAGGAAATAAGGAAACAGAACAAGTCAGGGTGAAACTATCATGATTAGGAAGAACAAAGAGCAGTCTACTGAAGCCGGAAGCCAGGAGAGCCTTCTCACCACAGGTGATGCCTCAGGTGAGACTCAACCAGTGAACAGGTGTAACGGCTAGGCTAGGCTAGCCTACTAAGAAGGAGAGAAGGGGGTGGATGAATACTCCATGCACAGGAAAATCCCGGGCCTAGAGCAAGAGAAAGTGCATCTGTTTGGAAGAACAGAAAGAAGTTGGTTCTAAAGCATAGAGTTGGTAGGAAGTGGGGAGAGATATTGCTGCAGAAATAATAAAGAGTACAAGTAATGAAGAATGGGCTATCTAAACATTTCCAAGAGAAATGGGAAGCCACTGAAAGGAACTAAGGAAGAAATCATCAATACATTGTATTTTATACAAAATGTTCTGATTGCACTGTGGCAGAATTGGAAAGGACCAAGAAAAGGGTCTAGGCAAGAGAAAATGGTGAACTGAGTAATGGCAATGGGGATGGAGTGGTGTGAACAGATGTTAAGAGCTGTTCACAAGTGAGGTGTGAATAGATGTTAAGAGCTGTTCACAAGTGAGAGGAGACTGGACTTGATTGAGTAGACTAGCACAGTAAGGGGAAGTTGCTTAATCCTTCTGCACCTTAGCTTCCTTTTCTGCACAGTAGGAACAATAAATAATATTCGTACCTGATCATGGAGTTATTATGAAAGTTAACTCACAAAGTACTTACAACAGTTACTGCATATAAGTGCTCAAAACATACTGCCTATTATCATTGAGTAAAATAGCTCAAAACTAGAAACAGCTGCTCATTAACAGTAGCATGGGGTGGGGAGAAGAGGGGAGGAAACAGTCCAGGATTTTGGCTTGGATGAATGAGTGGATGACAGTAACTATACCAGTTATCTACTTAGTGCCTCTCAGCTCCAAATCCCCTCTTCATTTCTTGCTCTGAGATAATGGAGATGGACATGGCAAGCATTTCTCCTCTGCAGCTGGCATAATGTTAAGCTCTGTCAGTGAAAGACCCTAGAGGGGCACTGAAGGAGGAGGGGACATCTCCTTCTGGTTCAAATGTGCTTCCATTTACTTCTTTTTGCTCCTACACATGGCTGCCAGGGTGCATGTAGGGGACATCCAACAGCGCTCACCCCCACTGACTTTCAGTGGCAGATTCCCAGTGAGTCTCAAAGATATCCCAGAAATTGCACCCCCAGCACTGGCCCATCTGACCCCTGCAAAAGGTGTCTCCCACATGTGACTGTAGATGGGCTCTGGTCCAGGGTGACCCAGCAAACTTCTCTGTCATCCACACTACCCAGTACAGTCTGAATTCCAATCAGTTTGTGCTTTCTTCGGATACTCTCCCTTGAGCCTAGTGTATCCTTTGCCCTATTATCATTAATCCCTTATAATTAATAATTGCTTATGTTAATCATTTCCTGTTCAACTACTATGTGTGTTCCATCTCCTGTCTGGACCCTGACCATATCAGTACTATTCATTGAAATGGGAAACAAGGAGGAGAGAGAGGTATTGCAAAGATAAATTGCACTTTGGACATACAAGACTTGAGATGCTTGTGGGACATCCCAGCAGCATTGTCTAGTAGGAGGCTGAGCATTGGGGGGTGTCTCAAGCTCGGGAGAAGTGCCCAAACTGTGGAGACAGGCTTCGAAGTAAGCAGCCTTAAGGTCTCTAAAATCTTAGTAAATGAGGCATGTATGTAAATGCCATGTGTCAGGGAGATAGATTTTTTTTTAATGCTCATATGTCTCATCAAGAATCCCTGTGCCATGTATGCAGCAGCACATTTCATTAAAACATTTATGTTGATTTTGTACTATGAATGTTAGGTAATGTTGCTTTTTTATCTATTAACATTTTCAAAACTAACTGAAAATATGGTTGAGAAGAGCCAAGCCCTATATTCGTAAGATAATTATAATTACACTCCAAACTTGGAAACTTAAACCTGGTGGAGGCAGGCAGGGGTGTAATCAGTCCTACCAGCTATTCTGGATGCTAACTGCAGTCAGAAAAATGCTAACCAATGTGCCAAAATCCTAAGTGGCAGTGCTGAAAACAGGTGAATCGCTAACATGTGAAAGAGCTAGGTACAAACATATTTTGAAAGAGACCTTCCCACTTTTTCCAGGGTGCTAAGTTGGCCAACATAACTTGCTCCTTGCTTCACCCATTTCTCAAAAGTTTGGATCTACTGACCACAATAGAAGGAAGTTCCATCAGCAGTTTGCCAAGGAACAATGTGGAAGAGAAATGCATTAAATCCTCAGGGAAATTAAACCCAAATAATCCAATAACAGCATTACAAAATTAACCCTAGACTATGAACTGAATTAATTGCCTCCTACTGTGGGGATTCTTGGCACTCACAGACCAAAACAAATGAGGCCAATGATGTCAACTCCAATAAAAGAGGCTGTGGGCAAGTGAGATCTTGAGGTACCCAAGACTGTACCGACTACTGTTTTTCAACTTTCTGATTTGTTCTGGAAATCTGTAATACAGAGAAAGGTCTTCCTTTATTCCTATTTCATGCCTCAAATCATGGTAGGTTGATAAGAGAGGCTAGAGTTGGTACAATTCCTGACACAAAAGGTGCAATTTTATGACTTCTTTTGTGAATTCCCCTCTAATTGTCTGTGTCTAAGTAGCTAGAGCACTGGAAATCAATCAAAGTAAGATCTTTTTCTCCTGAGAGGGTTGAGTGAACAGGTAATGAATGGACAGGGAACAAGTAATGAAATCTCTAGAACTAGGCAGTCTAGTGATAAGACAGGCATTTAAGAATACCAGTCATCTGCTCCAAAAGAGACCACTTTGGTATTTCAATAAATAAGCATTTATTCTATAAATTCTTTTCTTATGCCATGTTGTCAGTATGCCTGTGGCAATGCAAGATTACCTCAAAATAGGGCCAGAGGAGCAACAAAATCAGCATGTATGTGACTTACCAAACCTCTGTTGGGGTTCTTAAGGGCTTTGAGGAGTAAGGTAGGATAAGGCATCCTTATGAAGATAAAAACCTGTGATTTACACAGTTTTGCCAAATAAGGCCCACAGGACACATACAAAAGGATTTGAACTGCCTCCAGCTTCTTCTGAGACAGCCAGTTTGTCAAAATGTCTTGCATGGTCTTATGCACACCCTTCCTGTTACAGCTGACATTTACTCCTGAAGCCTTTTAATAACCAAAAAGCATTTTACAAAAAGTTAATTAATGGCATTTTATTTCGACATTACACAACTTAGAGTTCTCTTCACAGTCTTAATTTTATTTGACATTTTGAAAATATTATGCCTCTTTTGTGTGGATTAAAAAAACTTTAACACAGCTAGCATGTATTGAATACTATTTTTTCCTTCTCCCAAGAATTGACGCAAACACCAAAATACTTTTTGATTGAGCTCAGAGAAATCAAGCATTCTGTTTGTTTGGAATCTTAATTGCTATGGCCCCAAACTTTCCTAATTAGAAGCTCCTTCATCATAAAGAAAATTATTTCCAAAGTTAATGAATTTGTAAGCAGAAACACTGCTGTCTTCCTAAAATGAATTACCCACATTCCTTACATACATTTTTAGTTAAACACTCTAATTAATATTAATACTTAAACCATGTGGGGTTGATTTCACTGTGAAAGCAAACTTCTTTTTGTTTTTAGACAGTATAAAAAGTACACAGTTTCTCTTCTTGTAGACATCAGGCTGCACATATAAACTTAATTCTAGATTTTGGTCAAAAATGGAAGTAATTTCATCAAAACGATTCATTTTATTGACTTTAGCCATTTCAAGCTCATTAACATCGAACAGCTTTTGTGCAGATGAATTAATGATGTCCAATCTTCACAGCAAAGAAAATTATGAAAAATATGTTGAGGTAAGTTTTTTAACTCTAACATGACTAGCATTAACTATATATTTGTCCTTAGTCTAATGCTTTTGTAAACAATAAGGAGTAAGTTTATGCTTTGTTTTTTAATCAAACTTCAGCCTCCCCATGACAGCACTGATATATCAATACAACATATTTTTTAGCACAGCACCAAACCCTGGCCTCTCTAATAACAATGTAAGTATAGGGTATGATACTTTGGAAGCATACAGTACATTAATTTTTAATTGACTCAGAAGAACACAGTTGTAATAAACAGTTGCAAAAGTAAGATCTGGATACAGTTCAGCTGGACACATGAACTACCTGCAACTACAAAAAAATATATATGATATTTATGATTTCTACTTAGGAATTACGAGCTGGTTAAATTTGAGGTAAATTGATAGCTAAGTAAAATATTTATCCCTCCATGGAATTGCAAGTCAGGTTTATTTTCTTCTTTATGTTTTTATGTATTTTCCAAATTTGCTGAAATTTGTGTGAAATATGTATTAATTTTTACAATCAGAGTCTTCACACGGACAAACTTTCATGGTAAAGTTAAATCTAATTATTAAATACTTGCTGTATTTCAAACTGTTCTTTTAAAGTTGATATATTAGTGACATAGTAATCCACAAACCAACTGCTACTTTACCAAAAAGGTAATTTAAAAACTAATAAAAGCACAATCAGTTTCTTAAGACATTATTTTAGAGTAGAACTCTGAATACAAGCAGGTAGAAAATGGAGCATCTTCCAACTGCCTCAGAATCTGGCTAGATCTCTGTTTCTGCCACTTAGGCCTTTATTTAAAGGAGAAAACAAGAAACCTGAGAAGACAGTAGGAAGTTTCTCTAAAATCAAAATGTAAAAATATATGAAATACTTTATAAGCAACATGAATCAAAAACTAAAAGAGAATAAACTGCAGTAAAATCAACTTCTACCTCATCTCAATACTTGATAATGTTCCTGCTGCTCAAACACACTGCTGTATTATTCACTGTATATATTTTATTAATATTTTATAGTTGTCTAACAATAGTCCAGGGACAGAGAAACTAGATTATTTTAAGGGGCTTAATACAAATTATTTATTTTAAAAAAATCTGCACATGAAAACACAATTTTTATAGCTTTGACAATTCTGCAGATTAAAGTCTGGATTTAAGGTAATTTGGAGTTTGAACCTATTGCTTATAACAATAATAAGTTACTTTAATGTTCATTTCTATTTATAGCCTAAAGGAGACCCTACAGGGGAAAAGAAAAGAAGTCTCAACTTTGAAGAAGTAAAAGACTGGGGTCCGGAACCCATCACAAAGATGAGTACGACCACAGTCAACAAAATGCCACACCCAGCAGCCGACCTGCCATTGAGATTTGGGAGGACCACAGAAGAAAACAGAAGCCCTGGGGCAATAGCCAGCCTGCCTCTGAGATTTGGAAAAATTACAAAGGATAGCATCTCGAGACATGTTCCTAATTTGCCTCAAAGGTTTGGGAGAACAGCAGCCAGAAGTGTCGCCCAGACACTGGGCAATTTGCTCCAAGAATCCATGCCTTCACTGTCTACCAATGGGTTACTTTGCTCCATGATCTGCGAGCCCCAAGACATCCAGAATCCATATCAAAAGCACCTAAGGTACACCTGGATCCCAGTTAATATGGGCCATTAAATAGAGCAGGGCCAGTGGTAAGGAATACATCTTTTCAAAAGAAGTTTCTAAGAAAGTTAAGTTTCCCAAAAGGAAAAAGGCAAATACACACACCTAGAAATTGAGAACTGCTGAAGGCCATACATAAACAGGACTACAGTATAAAGTAATGAGATGGCTTCCCCTAAGCCACATAGGGCCTCAACCTCATTACTCTATAACCTCACACAAGTAGGAAGCTGCAATGACAGGACTATACGTGTAAGCCTGTGACATAATGTCCAACATTTGCCTGTCTAAAATAAAAAGTCCCATCTGAAGCAGCTGTCTGCAAAAACAAAGGACACCACTTCATAAACTAGGTCTCAAATTCAGATTTTCTTCTTAAACTTTAAATCAAATTTTTTTCTTCTCTCTGAATCTCATTTTACAAGTAAGTTTTGTTGTAATTGTTCTTTGTATTAATTAATAAGTACTTATTAAGTATCTATATGTACAAAATGCAGTGCAAGGTACTACAAAAGATTAAAAAAATTAACAAGCTACTTATTACCTTCTAGTAGAGAGTATATGTTAAAAAAATTTTTTTGATATAAAGCAGAGCATGAGACTTTAATTATGACTTGTAGGAAATAAGGTCACAAGCTATGACACCTTCTTAGTGAGAACTTTTCAGAATACTCCCGGTTTATTTTTTACTATGTTACTTATCCCTATCTGACATATTATATATTTAGGGTCCATCCCTTTTATTAGAATTTCAGTTTTATAAATCCCACACTTTTTGTCCATTGCCATATCCCCAGTACCTAGAACTATGTTTGGCATGTGGGAAGACCTCAATGTTTGCAGAATGAATGAAATGTTATGAGAGGCAGTAATAAGGTAAAAAAAAAAAAAGTTTCTGCGTGTGGGAATCCACAAACTGGACTTTGAAAGGTGACTCTATGTTGAACATTCAGAGACTAGAGGGTGGAGAGGGTATACTTTCGGGCAAAGAGAGGAACACAAGTAAAGGGACTAAAGCAAGGTAAGCCAAGAACAGCTGGCGTTCAGCTTGGTGAGAACACAGGGTACAGGAAGAGGAGAGGAAAGAAGGATCGGGTAAGAACAGAGCACAGACGTGTGGGGCCAGGTAAAGGACTTTGGATGTTCTTTATCAGGAAACGGAGAACCACTGATGCTTCTGCTGAGGTCCTGAGGTCCTGCCATTATACAAAGGTAGAATTTGGCAACTAATCAGATGTTGGGAGTGGGGTGGTGAAGAGGGACAGAGAGGAGTCAACAGCAAGTGTGTGAGTCTGAGTGCCTGTTACAAATTCAGGGTCCCATCAATGTCTCATTCATTTCAAGTGCAACAAAATCCAACTCAGGTATAATTAGGCAATTAGGATCATGGCTTGTATTTTTATATGTTCTCACATGCTAGTGTTCTGATGAATAAGAACATTTTGTACTGCTTTCGTTTTAGGAGACTGGGATTCAAGAAAATGTATGATGCAGAATTGAAACACGAAAAATAGGAAATCTGTAACTTGTCCCTCAAGATGATATAAAGCTGTGGCCTGTAATCTGCAAACGACTTTGTAGGGAAGCCAATGAATGAAGAGTCACTGTACTCTTTTGATGGGTCATCACTGAGAGCAATTTTTCCTTGTAGCAGCTAGTATCTTGAAAGTTGTAAAACAACAACTTAAAGCATATTGTAAAGATAAGATAATTTTTGTCTAAATAAAAAGATCATTGCAAACATTAAGAAGCTTTTGGTAATGGGGAGAGGGATGGAGAGAGAGAGAGAAAGGCTGAAGCCATAACACTGTCATAGGTGAAAATTGTGGACAGTTACACTGAAGAAAAAAATTAATTAGAAAAGTAGTCTGACAAATATTATGATGAAAATTAAGTAATTCAATAGAAAAACATGGTTGACAAATGCTTACAAATAACAAATCCCTAACATATTTTTATACACCCATTTTTTCCATTATATCAACAGTTATTGAATCTAAGAAAGATTGAAATTTTTCTAAAAATAGAAAAGAAAAAGGCAACTATTAGATCCCATGTTTAGTGTCTCCTCTATCTGTATCTGAAAATTTGCCTTGGTGTGTCTCTTTTCTCCTCATTTAGTATTTCAAGTTTTTGATTTACGGAAAAAAATCTGGTCACTCTTAAACTAACAATTTATAAATACTATATACCGCAACACAGAGGCATGGTTATTCAACTTTAGTCCTAAGATTATGAAGCCCTTAATCAGATACAACTGGTTTATTGAACAGCCTCAACTCCATAGGGCACAAACAGGAAATGGTGTTATTTTTCTCCCATCCTGCCCTCCCCGAGCCAAGTTGAATCTCTTCTCCCTGCTGGGTAGGGATCCCTTAATGATGCCCTGGACAGATTGCATAACTTCCTGATATTAAAAAACTCAGTCAAGTCCAGTTGAAGATGCCAATCTCATGCCCAAAGCAGAGCTTCCGGTGCTGTCTCTGGCTGGGGGGCGGCTGGAAGGGCCCCACGTGGGGCAGGGGCATCACTCCGCTCTTCCGCTATCCCTCCCCTTCTCACCTCAGAGATAGGGCGTGGAAGGGGTAAGCCTGCAGGAACAACCTGCTTTTCTGTCTGGGGCTTGGGCTGGGCAGAGGAGGAGTGGGGGCCGGGGATTCAGTCTCTCCATAATGTTGCTGCTTCTGCCAGAGCTTCAGGAGGCCCTACACACTCTTGCCTCAGCGGGTCGCTGACCCAGAGACCTGATGCTGCCTGATCTCTTCCAACTACTCTCCTCTCATCTGTACTCGCCAGGCCCCTCATCGCCTCAGAGAAAGGCTCAAGCCAGCCATCTTCTCAGCGTCCAGCTGACCCACAGAAAATGCAGATGTCCTTGCTATGCCAAGGGCAGAACTACAGTCGCCCCCATTTGTCTCCACCTCTCTTGGCCCTGCGGAGGAGGGGCAGAGGCTCTGCCTAAGCAAACACCAGCCAGAAATGAGCTGCCAATATCTGCTCCAAACACCGCTCTGTGAGCAATTTCCTAGGAACCTCCTGGCCTCAGTTTTAGGGTAGCAGCAAGGCTCCCCCCAGGCCAACCTTGCATAGCCATGGGGCAGGGGCACAGAGGCAGGGGCCATGCTGCTCTACACCTCTTAGTAAACCCTGAAGGGGCGGTCTGGCCCCACCATCACTGTTTTCATGGTAATGTCAGGTAGTTAGTGACTCTGTACCTCTGGATTTGGTCCCAGCCACCAGTTCTGAGCCACAGAGAAAGTATCATGAAGAATCTGCTATACTAATAAATAAATAAAAGACCACTGGCCCCTTGGTATTATATGACATAAAGAAATTTCTTATTGTATAATATGGTCCTTTACCTAAACCCCTGACACTTATGGAAAATGTTAGATGAATAACCAGGTGTCAGCTGTCCCCTTACCTATGTGACTTATTCAGTTTTAGTCTCTCACCAGGCTCTCCACCAGCCTCTCTACAAGAAATACGTTCAGAATAAGGGAGTTTGCAATTTCACTGAGCATTTGTGGGATCTTGAGGAGGGGATCACATTGCACAGCATTTCACTGAAAAAGCCTTGTTAGACAAGACTCTTCTCCCAAGTCTCTCTTTAAATGGACTGCTAGCCAGTTCCCCTCTTCTTCTGACCTCTGCTGCTCACCCCAGCATGGCTTCATGGTGTGAAATCCATGCAGGCATACAGGGTCCTCTCTTGGTTAAAGCTCTGCTGTCACTGTCTTGAAATTCTTAATAATCTTGAACAAGAACCCTATACTTTTATTTTGCACTGGACCCCACAAATTACGTAGTCTGCGTGCTCCCCCAAAACTTGGCCCTTCTGCTCCTCTGCTCACATTTCCAACATCCAATCTCTCCCTATATTTATTCATCAGAACAGCTCCCATTTTCCATGTGGAACCCAAGGGCCAGCCTGTCACGCAGGCCTAGGAGGTCTCCTTACATTCCACAGAGAGTATAAATATAATGGCACAACCTGTGGGGTATGGTCAAAATGCAACTTTATTTCTGCATCCCACTACCCCTTTTAAAACGTAAGGGACAGGAAAAGGGGGTGTCCAAACATCTTCCCCTGGCCCTGGATGGAAACTTGACCAGTTACCATGAACTTCACTACTGCTCTTAAGGGATGTCAGACCTTTGGTCTCTTTAAGTCAAAAATGTGCAATCTCAGTTCCATTGTAATCAACATTTCGATCTGCATTCAGCTATCATTTATTCACTTATTCTCCACTTTTCCCATGTGAGGCCTGACTTTGGGGCCAGCAGTATGGTTGACTTCTGCTTCCCTTCCAGCCTCACCTGCTTCCTCACTCTCCAGCTGCTTTGTTGGACTCCAAAGGGATGGAACAGAATTTGAGATGAAAGGGAAGAGGATGGGGCAGTGCTTACCAGGGCTGGTGGATTCACTGTTGTACCCAGAGGAGGGGGAACCGCCCATTGTTGCTGGGCCCTCTCCCTGTAATTCTTCTGTTTCCCAAGATTCCTTTCAATGCCCTGGCTGGTCTCAGCCTCCCCATGGGACACAGGCACCCAGTCCATGCATGCCCATTTCTCTCCTGAGATCCTGAGAGTCCTCTTCAGTGGGACTTGAAACAACTTCCACAAATCTCTTTTTCCTGAAGCCTGTATATGGTCACGCATGGCTCACCCTCCACACTGGAGGCCCTCATCACACCTCCTCCATCCTGCTGCCCCAGATGGTTGAGCTTTTGGCCTGGAGCCAGGCACCATCCTTGGTCTCTCAACCACATGGAACACATTTCCTCATCATATAGAAACCTCTCCCTGGTGAAGAGGGAGGGGAGCAGTAATCCCTGACATCTGGCCAAGGGTAGGGGGCATTCACAGCAAGGTAACAACACTCTCCAAAGAAATCTCTTCGTAAACCTAGATCCTGTCTGAGGGCTGGTGGAGCCGCTTTCCAACCACTTCCTTCATAGAGTCTGCAAGTGATAATCTCTTTGGAATTTTACATCTATTATATTTTGATGTTTCAGTTAAAACTTCAATTTTTAACTAAACAAAAATGGATCTCTCCTTATAAGGTATGCTTATAGCTACTAAAAATAACATTTTCTCTGAATCATTACATATATATGTGCATTTTTCTAGGATGAGAGTTTGGAGTTTTTGGTAAATTCTCAGTGGGGTTTGTGATTTCATAAAGTTTAAGAATCACTGCAGTAGAAGATTTTTATTCCTAGAATTATTTTAAACTAGTATCTAACTCAACTTATAAATGAATATTGTCATCTGGCCATTTAAGTGCTGAGAACATAATGCCAAAACAATGAGAATCACTCAAATGGTTTAACCTGACTTTCCTCCAAACACTGGCCTTTTAACTAGCATAACAATAGAAGTGAGGTAGCAATTATGTTCTTCTCATGTGCTTTCCCAGGCACATCCCCCCAAATCTCCCATTCCCTATCCCTCCTCCTCTCTTCCAACACTTCCATCCCCCCAAGGAAATTCCATTTGGATTGGTCCTAATCTACACCTCCTCCACCCTGTAAAGGTGACTGGAGCATGGGGGCTTCAGGGAAAAGCTGGGATGCATGTTAAACACCAACGATCTTCATGGAAGGCAACTTTCATGTGATCTCAGGTCCATACTTCATACATCACAATATGACAATGACCTTGAGAAATAAAAAAAAGGAAAAAAATAATGAACTGACTCTGGGACCAATTTCTCAGTGAGAAAAATGAAAGGTCAGTGTTCACCTAAGTGTGACCAACAAAATGAAATAGGCGAGAACAAGAGTGCAGGCCCCTACATACTTCATGTGTCTTTTTCTTTTTTTTTCCCCTAAAGATCTTCCTGCAGACATTATGTGAGACTCTGCCTTTGGAACATGTCATATTATTTAATGAATATCCTATGTTATTCCTAGAAACATGCACTTTCTATTTCCATACCTTTGTTCATACTAATTCCTTCACCTTAAGGGCCTCTTTCCTATCAAAATCCTTCCAGACCCAAATCAATGGATGCAGCTACATGCAACAGAAAACCTAAATAACACTGTTTTAACCAAGAAACACTTTTTTTCTCACATAAAAATGTCTGGAAGAAAGCCATTCTGGGCTAGTGTAGGAATTCCAGTCATAAAGGATCCAGACTCCTGCCATCTGTCTGCTCCACATGCTAAGCACACAGCTTCCCCCAACCCATCAGGCTCCCTTCGGGGCAGCAAAAACAAAGGCAGACAGCAAAAGGGTGCTCTTTTTCCAAGGGTGCTCTTTAAAGATCACCATCCAATAACTTCCTCTTTCATGTCATTGGCCAATCCAATCTGCAAGTGAAACTGGGAAATGTAGTCTCTCCATCTGGCACACTGTCCCAGCCACTATTACTATAGAAACAAAAGCATGGCTGTTGGGTGGGCTAGACAGGTCTGCCCAGCCTCTACAAGCTCACTTCTTGTTATACTGTGTAAAATATACCATATTACTTAGGAATGTCACATTATTCATTAGAACATCAAAT